AGAAGAAGAGGAAGAAGAAGGGGGAGATGATGGCAACGAGGAGGGGGGAAAAGAAAATGATGACGGCAATGGTGAAGGAGGAGGAGGAGGAGGAGGAGAAGAAGAAGAAGAAGAAGAAGAAGAAGAAGAAGAAACGATGGCGAGGACGCTGCCTCGTCCTCGCCATCGTTGCCTTGTCACCTCCGTTGCTGCCATCGCCGACGCAGAGGTAAGTCCTCGGCAAAAAAAAAAATCTCTTTTTTTTGAAATTTTTTCCCACCTCATTTCTTCTTCTTCTTCTTCTTCTTCTTCTTCTTCTTCTTCTTCTTCCTCCTCCTATTCTCCTTCACCATTGCCGTCATCATTTTCTCTTGCCCCCTCCTCGTCGCCATCATCTCCACCTTCTTCTTCCTCTCCGTCGTCGTCGCACCATTGCCTTGTGTACATCCATGGCTAACCACAACCAGTTTTCTGCGTCCCACATAGGATGGAGGGCATGGGGGAGGCGGGAGGGCAGATGACACACAACGACACCAAGCAGGCAATGAAGGCGTGACGTGATAACGCATGGAATGACAAGCAACAACGAAGGACAAAGGCTGGAGGGCACAGGGGAGGCGGGAGGGCAGACAACAACAAGCACACAAGGCAGGCAAATCAGAAAAAAATACAAGTCCATAAAAGTTTCAAAGACCGAAAAAAATAAAAACTGATGATGACAAGATTGTTTCGTCGGAATTGCACCGACTCATCAGGAGGCTGAACCCTCGACAATTTGCGGAATCCCCGTATTTGATGGTTTGGGTCATGAACCCTTTGACCCATGTTGAAGGCAGACTGTCCCCAAGCGGGACATAGCAGCGGGCAGCAACCCTGTGGAGCACCAGGCAACACAGTTGAGGCAGCTCAACTGCTTATCACCAAAGACGACTGCAAGGAACGACAAGGCAAGCGGACGAGCAGCTCGGCAACCGTGCGGTGAAGCGCAAGGCAACATCAGCAAGGCGGCGACACTACAAAGCACGCAAGCAAGTAAAGGACGCGGAAGGCCAATAGGGCAAGCAGACGAGCAGCTCGGCAACCGTGCAGTGAAGCACAAGGCACCACCAACAGGGCAACCAAACTACAAGGCATGCACCCAAAGGACACTGAAGGCCGACAGGGCACACGGACAAGCAGCTCAGCAACCGTGCAGCGAAGCGC